TCCACGAAAGTCTCGATAGATCGATAACCATAACCATTCTGGCCAGAAAATTCTCCATCTACACCAGGAGTGTATTTCATATACAACGGATTCACAGCAGCATACCTAAATCACAGCCAAGTGCCACCACCACTGTACAATTTCTATGACTTGTTGTTTTGCGTCACATCATATCCCCTATGTGCTTGATCAGCGCGTATCTCTCCCTTATGCCCTAGACACAAAAATCTCTGCTGAGTGTGGCATTCCGAATTGTTCGGATGCGCCCATGAAGCCATATAAACTGCAGTGCCTGTAAAAACAGGATGAACCAGTGAATGTAGTGGGAAGAACACTACTACCAATAGACCCATCTGAACGATTCTTCCATTCGCATACTATTGTGATAGTGTCCTCAGTTCCCTCAGGACATCCAAACTCCTCACACGTCGCAACGCCCGTCGACCCCACAGCCATCGCTCGGATAGGATCAGCCAGTCCTGACAGGAATCGATTATTTCTCATCTTACTACCCTTACTTACCGTCCATAATCCAACAGTGGTAATCAACATGGTGACTATTGAGATAATAGCTAATATCAGAACTCTTCCCTGCCCACGCCTTGAATGTGTGAATCTGGTCTCTCGGCTGAGTCATCACCGAATCCCAGTGTTGAAAAGCACCAAAATTATCAATATCGCGAATTTTCTCACGAGCATCAGCATACACTGGATCATAACGCTTGTGAACTTCAATTTGCACATACACTCCATTCCTCCGAGCAGCTTCAATAACTCTCTTATGAGCTTCAACGGTCATAACGATCGGCTTAGTAACCATCACATGAACGCCTCGTTCAATGGCATACATTGCAATCTCGTAATGAGTTGTATCCGGGGTAAAAACAGTAATCGCTGATCCTCTAGGAAGAGAATCGATCGCTCTCTTATACGCCTCAACATCTCTACTGACATCATCGGCAGGCCATGTAGTCATCGATACATCCACGTTATTGTAAACCTTGGAAATGTTCTCCTCAAAAAGTTGTCGAATTGCAGGGAACTTAGTGCCGTTAGTTCCAACACAACCGATGCTACTAACTTTGCCACGTCGGCGGAGGTCGAACATAACCAGACCGACAACGCCCTTAGTCTTGTCGCTACGAGAAGCGTGGCCACCAACATAACCGGTCGTATATTCACCAGTACCGACCATTACCACATTGAGAGGCTCTAACGACGCTGATGTAGATGCTGACATTCAGAGGGGAAAGCGAGTGAGAACTTACTACGTAAAGAGCGTGAAGGGTCAAGACGATAACAAGGCAAATACGGCAGTGGTTACTGTAGGATAACTATCTTACTTAGGAGACAGGCTACGACACAATAATTTATTAGTGTAGCTTTACCATAATTAATCTAATCCCGAATTTCCCCAAACCGAGTGAACGCGCCGAAGTAATCGATGAATCAATCGTTCGGCACGATTTCATCCAATCATTGAGTATTTCCGTCTCTGCTAGCAGGAGTGTCACCAAGTTTGAGAGATTTGTATTGTGAGTATAGGGTAAAGCCTCACTCATGATGAACACCGTTACAGTGCCGCTGTTAACGCATGTCATTCTAATATTATGCAGGCGTGAGTGTACCTTGCTCTCTTCAAAAGAGTCTCTCACATGATTCCCCCAGCGTGCTCGCATATGGAACGATCAGGGACTCACCCGCTGTGCAAACCCATACCCTCACTCTCCCCTCCTTGAGCGATAGTCATGGCACAGTCAATTCCACTACGTAACATAGGACGAGAAAGCTTTCTATCCGACTACTGAACTAAACACTTGGACGGCCACCAGAACTTCAACTTTAAATTCTTACGACCGCAGTAGTCTCCCACCAA